TTCCTGGCACTATAGTGGTCCTTTAAGTTTGTAGTGGGAACACTTACTGTATTTGGAGAGGGTATCATGAAAGTTCGGCAATGAGATAAAGGGTTGCTCTAGCGTAAGGAGTATGCCATCTGCGAATAATGATAATTTGTATTCGTGACCTTGACTGGTAAACCCATGGATAATCGGATTGTCTCTTATTAGTTGTGTGAGTGGTTCTAGGAATAGGATGTAGAGTTGATAGGGGGCAGCCCTGCCTGGAGCCATTTGATATTGTAAAATGTTTTGAGATAAAGCCTCATTTGGTGACTCTTGCTGATGGTGTTGAATATAAATGCTGATACAAGGGCTAGGAAGTCAGTGGGAAATCCGAACTTTTGCAGGACCGCGCGGAGAAAGGGCCAGTGCAGCCTGTCAAACACTTTCTCCGCGAAGAGAGAGAAGCATGCGGTGCGCCCCTCCTCCCTGCGTCCCGCTTAACAATTTTAAGATTTTCCATGTACCGTTCGCCCCCTGCTGCTGACAAACTTCACTTGATCTTCATGAATCAGGGATGGAATTATTGGTGCCATTCTGTTGGAGAAGATCTTGGCTATCAATTTAACATCGGTATTAAGAAGGGAGATTGGTCACAGATTTTGGCATTTGGTGGGGAGCTTTCTGGCTCTTGGGATAGTGGCCACATGTGCCATTAGCATTTCTGATGTAATCTGACCTGTTTGCAGAATTTGGCTGAATGTTTGTTTTCCAAATGGGGGGCTAGGAAAGTGGCAAATTTCTTATAGTATGCGTTTGTCAGGACATCTGGTCCTGGGGACTTGCCTTGGGAAAGAGAATTACTAGTTTACAGGATCTCCTGCGTTGTTATAGGCGCTCGTATTGTTTATCTTTGTTGGTCTGTCAGCAATGGCAGAGTGGTGAGTTGTAAGAACTCTGTAATTGATGTAGGTCCTGGTCGTCCTTGAGATTATACAATGTGTAGTAATAAGCTATAGCATCATTTATGTGACGAGACCAATCTCGCCACATTGCATTGGAGAAGCCTGGTTGCCCGCCTGCTGCCCCTGGACTATGGCCCCCTTTTAAAAGACATCTTTTTTTACCTGCAGAAAAGCTTCATTCGTGCTTTTCTGCCTGGGGTTCGGTAGATTTGTTTGAATGTGTTATACCCCAGATAGGAATCCCATGGAACCCATTCGTATGAAACTGACTGTAAAGACTTTGGCTCCATGGCGATTAAACTGTATTCGTGTGGTCTGAGTGCCATTCACCTAATAATGTGCACTCAGACCTGAGCTATCTGGGGATATGTATGAAATGTCTACTGTGTGTTATGTGTAAAAGTAACCAACTTTATGTATTTTAAAGTGTTTTGTCTTTTGTGTCTTTTTTGCAACCATGTATGTGCTTAATGAGTCTTGTGTCTGTCCTGGGAGATAATTGAATTACTCTCAGGATAGAGACTCTGAAACTGGTTTAGACCCAGAGAAAGCCAAATACTTCATTTTAAGTGCACAAAGGACTACTAACTTTTGAACCCCTGGTCTGATTTGTGCCATTTTTGAATATGTTGTTCCCCTGAATGGATTGATTGTGCATATGTAATTTTATGTGAATGTGATGTATGGTTTTAGAGTTATGAAAGTTGGGTAGAAAGTATGTTTTAACTGTATGTATAATTGGGTTTCCTCTCAGGATAAGGGGAGGGAATATGTGGGATGTAACTGTGATGTGATTGGTTGTTTTATACCTCCCTGTGGGCGGTCCTGTATTTGCAAGACTGTAATAAAAACCAGGCTGGGTGTGCCAGCACCTCAGACCACTGCTTGACCCTCAACACGGAGCCTTGTTTCGTCTTTGGGGGGATTCACTGTATGCTGTTAGAGACTGATTGCCAGGAGTGTAAGCTGATTGTCTGCTTTTCCTGTTCGTCTGCTAGCAGCTATTCGGGAGGTTCCAGTTCAGGAGTTGGAGTGCTATTTTGTATCCAGTTCGGGAGTCTGGTGTTCTGCAGTAGCTGTGCCTGTATCTCTGGAAAGGGGGCCGATCGCCTAAACGGTTTTTACCCCTTGTGTGCAAAACGGTCCGTTACAATTTACATCTTGTGGGCTGTCTATTTTGGTGCCTTTGTCTGTGAGCAAATATGGTATTTTGGAATTGGCTTGTTTTTGTCATAATAACATTGCTAAATGTTTCCCTGCTTTGTTTCCTTGGGAGTATGTTTTTGCTTCAGTTTCTGTAGTATGTGTGTAGTCTTTGACAATGCTATCATGTATCAGTTGGGCATTCGTTGTGTCCCATAGAGTGCGCAAAAGGGTGGGCATTCTTTTTTAATTAGGAGGCGTGACTTATTAGGTCCCTAATGACTGGTTTGTGGGCTTGCCATAAAGTTGCTGAGGGGATGTCTGGGGTGTTGTTGATTTAAACATATGTTTGGAGGGCAAATGTGCTATTGTGTAGAAGTGAGTCATTAACATGCCAGGGTGTTTTCCCTCTGTGTTGATAATCATCTCTAAGTTCTAGTATGGTTGGTGCATGGTCCGACCTCACTAGGTCTCCTATGTCACTTTCAGTATCCCTAGGTAGAAGAGGACCTGCCAATAGAATGAGGTCTGTCCTGGAGTAAGATTTATGTACCGTGGAGGGATATGTAAAGGTTCGTTCATTAGGGTGGTACGTTCGCAAGTGTAGTGTAACCCATATTCCCCTAGTAATTTATTTAATGCTTTGCTTTGAGATTTCACTGCTAGGTTCCTAGGGGCTTTTTCATGAATGGTGGTGTCCATGTGGGAGTCCAGAGGGTGATTCAAGTCCCCACACAGAATCACTGAGGCAGCATGTAGTTTGGGTATTTTCATTAGGACCTTGTGGAGGAAATTCCTTTGGTTTGTACTTGGACAATAAAAGCTAACTAGTACCTATGGCAGATCGTTAATGAGACATTGGAGTATAATAAACCTGCCTTGGCTATCCTTTTTAATATGGAGGAGTTCTATAGACAGGGATGTGTGTAGGAGGATTGATACTCCCTTCGATTTGGAGGTATGGGTTGCATGGTATTGGTGGGGGTAGTCTTGAAATGCAAACTTTGGCACTCTAGCCACGACAAAGAGTGTTTCCTGAATACATAGAATGTCAGCTCTCAAGCACTTGGCATCCTCTAGCAAAACACGCCTTTTATGGAGGGTATTGAGCCCTTGGGTGTTGTGTTAATATATTCTCATGTTATTGGTTTATTGTGAAGGTAGTTCATGAGCTGTGGCTCCACTGTCACAGAATTATATATTAATTGCATAGGTACTGGAGATGGCATTTGTCCCCTTGCCAGCATGGTCTTTTGACATGCTAGGAGTAGAATGGGCGAGAGGGGAAAGGGAAACATTAAGGAGTAAAAACCAAAGCAAATACAATGTGACCCTAATGTTGGCCTTAGCTCATATGGTACGTGTCATGGGGCTTGAGTACGCTATACATCTCATGTTGTGTGGCCATTCGGCTCTCATGTGAGAAGTAATAGAGCCTCAGAGTGCTAGTTTGAGGTGGTATACATATCTACTGTTCAAACCACTATCATTGCAGTATTAACTAGGTTCGTAGCGGTGTGTGTTCAGCAGCGTGGTACTGTTTACAAGGTGTAATGGGAAAGGGTCTTTGAGCTTTGTGTCCCTTTGTCATATTGGTGTGCCGCAGCGTACATACCCCGGTCGCAGCTGCGACCGGGCCCGTCACTCCAGGGGGCCCGGCCGCCCTGCGGACCCCCACAACTGGGTACCAGCCGCTACGTTTTGCGGCCCCGGCCCGCACGGCAAACCACTGGGGCTGCATGTTAAGGGGTCCATCAGGTGGCCCATGCTGTCAGGGCCACCCGATGGATATGGATTATAAGGGGGCCCGGTCTGCGCTGGTTAGCAGCAAGACAGGGCCCCCTGTGATTACATCACTGCTGGGAGGAAGTGACTCCACGGTCACTCCTCCCAGCTAACAGAGCTCGCGCAGGAGGAAGGAGGAGGGAGTCAGAGTGGGAACTCTGACTCCTATCAGGCTGAGCCCCCACTGGACCCCAGGAAAAGCTACAAAAGGTAGGAAACATTTTCTATATGTCTCTGTGTGTGTCTGTCTGTGTATGTTATTGTCTGTCTGTATGTGTGTGAGGTGGGGCCCATGGATCGGGGGAGGGAAGGGAGGGGGGGCCATGGATCAGTTTTGCACCGGGGCCCCACGGATTTTGTGATGCCACTGTTGGTGTGAGCATTTATTTGGATTTGACATGTGATAAAGTATACTTCGCACAGTTAAGGAATATCATTAGATGTTGCGTCTATGGTCCTCATTGGGCACGATGTGAGGCCTGGTAGGCTACACTTATGTATTATAGATTAACCACTGGGTTACAGTTGTGCTGAACTCAATATAGCAAACACATCAAGTTAGATCAGATAACATGTTTTGAAACTCTAACTAATATCTTGGGTAAACAGTGGTATAAAGAATATCTCTTTTTAAACATTTGTACATATATTGTCTATACTTGCGACTGGGTTTGTATTGATCGATGCGACATCCAGTAACATCCACATTTAAGCAGAGACTGTGCTCCACTCCGATGGTAGACGACCTGGAGGGCTGGCAGGTTTCAGCGGGGGTTTAGTGAGTAGACCCCATTCCCGGTGCTGTTTAAGGCCATCTTAAGGTGTGTGGGGATAAATTTTATTCCGCAGTTCTTCGTGATCAGGAGTTTGGTAAAAGAACCCCAGCGGTATCGGATCCCAGTGTTGCATAGCTCCTCCGTTATTGCGGGGAAGTCCTTTCTGCTTTTGAGAGTCGCTAATGAGAGGTCCGCCATAATTTTCACCGTGGGGAAGTCTGCATGTGTGTCCGACATGTTCCTACTGGTGCGTAGTACAATCTCTTTTATGTGGAAATAATGAGCCCTCAGCAAGACATCTCGTGGGACCGAATCGGTAAGCTCCGCGGTTTAGGGACTCTATGTACCCTGTCTACCAGAAGCATATCTACCGGTATTTCAGGAGCAAATGCCTGACGTAGGCTTGTAGGTCGCAAGGGAGAACGTCCTTTGGTATTCCTCGTAGGTGGAGGTTGTTTCTCCATGATCTGTCTTCAGAGTCTGCCATATGGACCTCCATGAGCTCTATTTTATGCTCAAGTGCTTGAACGTGGTCTGCTATATCGTTATGGGCCTTGGTGAACTCACTGAGTTTTTGCTCCACATGTGCCATTGCGTTCCCGATCTCCAGGACCTGTTTTAGTAGAAACATAGAAGCATAGTATGTGACGGCAGATAAGAACCATTCGGCCCATCTAGTCTGCCCAATTTTCTAAATACTTTCATTAGTCCCTGGTCTTATCTTATAGCTAGGATAGCCTTATGCCTATCCCACGCATGCTTAAACTCCTTTACTGTGTTAACCGCTACCATTTTAGCTGGAATGCTATTCCATGCATCCATTACCCTCTATGTAAAGTAATACTTCCTGATAATATTTTTAAACCTTTGCAGCTCTAATTTAAGACTGTCCTCTTGTTGTGGTAGTTTTTCTTTTTTTAAATATAGTCTCCTCCTTTACTGTGATTCCCTTTATGTATTTAATTTTTATAACATATCCCCCCTGTCTCGTCTATTCTCCAAGCTATACATGTTAAGATCCTTTAACCTTTCCTTGTAAATTTTATCCTGTAATCCATAAACCAGATTAGTAGCCCTTCTCTGAACTCTCTTCAATATCCTTCTGAAGATACGGTCTCCAGTACTGTGTACAATAATCCAAGTGAGGTCTCACCAGTGTTCTGTACAATGGCATGAGCACTTTCCTCTTTCTCTTGCTAATACCTCTCCCTATACAACCAAGCATTCTGCTAGCATTTCCTGCTGCTCTATTACATTGACTGCCTACCTTTAAGTCATCTGAAATAATTACCCCTAAATCCCTTTCCTCAGATGTTGAGTTTAGGACTCTATCAAATATTCTGTACTCTGCCGTTGGGTTTTTAGGTCCAAGATGCATTGTCTTGCACTTATGCACATTAAATGTCAGCTGCCACAGCTCTGACCATTTTTCTAGTTTACCTAAATCATTTGCCATTTGGCTTATCTTTTTTTCTCAATTGCTTTTTATTTAGTATTGCAGAAAAAGAAGTCTAGTACAAGCTACGTGAATTCCAGTGCATACGTGCTCTGATTGTCATGCTCATTGATTAGAATTTGTACTGATATCATTTATCAGTCCATAAAGCTCCAAATTACCATTTCCGGAATACCTTTTAATAGTTTACATAGAACATGGGAAATTAAAAATCAGAATTTCACTTTAACATATCACAGCTACTCTTCCTGCCAGATCATTAATTTATTTGGATATATTTTCAGAAACTATTGTGATATAGGTCATTAATAGTCTATAACAATAACCTGTTTATGTTTTTTCAAGAAAAAAACACATTTTCCTCACCTTTTCTAGAGTTCTCGAGGAGATGTGCTTTAC